CCCCAGCTGCCTGCGGCCACGGCGGGTCCTCTGCGAGAAGTGCAAGAGCACCCTGAGCCCCCCGGAGGCTGGCCCCGCGCCTCCGGCCACCCCCCGGCCTCGCAGGAGACTGGGCAGTGGCTCTGACCCAGACAGGGAGCTCCGCAAACATGAGGACCCAGATGGCGGGGGTGAAACCACGGCCTCGGCCACCACCAGGAGAAGCAAGAGGGAGAGGCGGGAGGAGGACCAGGCTCTGGTCCCACGGAGCCCGGCCATCAAGATCTCCTACAGCACACCTCAGGGCAAGGGCGAGGTGGTGGAGATCCCTTCCCGCGTGCATGGCTCCCTGGAGCCCTTCTGCCCCCCGCAGGCCCTGCCCAGCGCCCCAGACCCCGAGGCAGCTCGGGACAGGCCACCTGACGGGCCCTCCGCCTCCATCCCGAAGCTGAAGCTGACACGGCCCGTGCCCCCCAGTGCTGACCTGCCGCCCCCCAAGATCCGCCTGAAGCCCCACCGCCTGGGCGCTGGTGAGCAGGAGCCTGTCTATAGGGCTGAGCTGGTGGAGGAGCTCAACGGCCGTGGGCAAGGTGCCCAGGCCAGCTCCCCTGCCCACCCTGCCTCTGGCTCTGCCCACGGTGCCCTGGCGGACTTGTCTTCGGGAAGTTCTGGGGAGGACGACGACTTCAAGACATGTCGCCAGGGTAAACACGGGCGCGACAGCCTGGCTTTTCTCACCAGCTGCTCTGGGAGCAGGACAGACTATGCCCGGGAGTCGCTGTGGAGCAGCGACAGCCTGGACGAGTCCAAATCGTCCAGCTCAGAAGTCACGTCGCCAGACACATGTGACCTCTCCTCTGGCGATGGCGTGTCCGTGCCGTCCACCTCCAAGCGCGCAGGGCAGACCGTTCCGCCCCTGACGGTCAGGCTGCACACGCAGAGCATCTCCAAGTGCGTGACCGAGGATGGAAGGACCGTGGCCGTAGGGGACATCGTGTGGGGTAAGATTCATGGTTTCCCTTGGTGGCCAGCACGTGTCCTTGACATCAATCTTAGCCAGAAGGAGGACGGGGAGCCCTCTTGGCAAGAAGCGAAAGTCTCGTGGTTTGGTTCTCCAACGACATCATTCTTGTCCATTTCCAAACTCTCCCCTTTCTCTGAATTTTTCAAACTGAGATTTAACCGTAAGAAGAAGGGGATGTATCGGAGAGCTATAACAGAGGCCGCCAATGCCGCGCGACACGTGGCCCCGGAAATCAGGGAGCTCTTAACCCAGTTTGAAACATGACTGGGGCTCCCTGACCAGGTGAGTGTGTGCGCGGAGGGCGGCCTCCTTCCTGGCCATCCCCAGCTGGCATCTGGGTTACTGTCCCTCTGCTCTGGGCCCTGCAGGGGGTGGGGAGGTCTCCTCCCCATCTGCCTCGCTGTTCCGAAGGGGGCCATCTGGAAAGTCGTCCTGCGAGCTGGCAGCGTCACCCGGCTGTGCAGAGCACAGGAGACACACTTTAGGAGTAGCCGCCGGCAGCCGCTTGTTCAAAGAACGGAGCTCGTTTGTGTTTTGTGACCATTTTTCAAAATGCCCGTAAAGGGGTTCCTCCCTCTGTCAGCCTTTGGCAGAAAGGGGTGCATTTTTTTTTAAATTTTTTTTAGGGGTGCATTTTTTAAAGGTGACGGTTTTGACTGATGGGGGAGTGCAGGGAGGGGTTCCTCTTCTGTCACCGTTCTGCGGGAACACGCCCTCCTGTGCCCTCCTGCTCCCACGCAGGTCAGGGGCCATTCTGGGGTCTCCGCTTGGCAGGAAGGAGCAAGGTCATCGAGCTGCCTACCCTCAGATGTAGCCCCACCCTTCTGCAAGTGGCTGGGTGCTCCAGGCTTCTGGAGCGGCTCTGGAGCCTGTCCCCAGGCAGGGTCTCACCCTCCATCTCTCCCTTCAGGAGAACACTGTAGGCTCTCTGGTCACGTACCTTAGAGACTCTGTGAGCTGGGGACTGTCACCATGTGGGGTTGGAGATGTCACCAAGGGCATGTCTGTGGTCATCCTGTGGGGTATTGGGACATGGCCAAGGGGCTGAGGCCACCTGCCACGAGCCACCCGTGGGCCCTGAGATGCTGGGTGTGTCCCCATGTGATGGCTTCCACCAGCTGGCGCCTGGGTGAGGGGGTGTGTCCAGGGCCACTGGCACTGCTGAGGACAAGAGGAGTCCTCTACCCCAGCTGGACTTCTTCCTCGGTCTTCGTGACCTTCAGATGACCTTGTCTGGACTGGCCTGCCTGCTCACCCACCTGTCTATGCCCCAGTTTCCCAGGTGATGAGCCATCAGGCCTCAGCAGGGCCAGCTAACATATGGCTGGGGAAGGAGTTTGTGGGGCGCCTGGCAGAGCTCACTGCTGCACCTCGTGCAGCGGGGATCCCAGGGTAGAAGCCATGTTGAGGGGCTTGTCCCCACTTTGTCTCCCCACCTGCTTCTTGCATCAGGCTGATGACCACCTTGAGTTGCTCTCAGGAGTCTGGGTACAAACCTCTCCTCTCCTGACCCAGGCACATCTCCCACCAGTTCTGGGCCTTCCTATTGGGTGTGGGCGTGGCCTCGGCCTGGCAACATTGAGCCAGCGAAGGTCATGTGATGGCCCCCCATGGGGAGGGTGGCAGGCTTGATTGAGGAGGAAGGTTCCAGGTGAAGGTCAGATGCCCTCCAGTCAGCTTCCTAGGACTTCTGCCTGCTGTATCTTGGCTCAGCGGGGATCCCTGGGCTGCGCCCACATCCTGTTGGCCTGGGGGCCATCCCCAGGATCTTGTCTGTCTTTATGCTCTTTGCAGCCCCCAACCCACCCCTCTGCTCACACAAGGTCCATTCTGCTTTTGGCCTGGTCTGGAGGCCGGCATGGAGGTGGGCCCAAGCTGTCACTGACGGAGTGGTGAGTAGGTCAGTCCTCAGAGGGACCTTCAGGCCCCAGGTCATGGTGAGCAGTTACAGGGGATGGTGAGCCCACGCAGCATCAGCCCAAGTGCAGCTCTCGGCCCTGGAACCCTGCTCCGGGAGCCCCCGTGCTGGGAGAATGCCACCCGGGGGTTCAGGGCTGGCTGCTAGTCAGGAAGCAGAAGGAAGAATCTTGCTGGGCGGGTTTGCCTGCTGAGGGCCTGTGCCCACAAACAGGCCTCTTCTGAGTCTCATTCTGGGCTCTCAATTCTGGGGCCGTGCCCATGCCCCCCAGCGGTGTGCACAGCTCCGGGAGCCTGGTCTGCTGGGGTTCTTTTAGCCCCAAAGCACCAAGTCCCCTGTTTGAGGATTAGGCTGTGAGTGGAGGTCCTCACCAGGTGGCTGACTTGCTGTCGTAACTGAGCCTCGGTTTCCCTCTCTGCATGGGGTCAGTGGCCTCCTGGAAGTTTGTTTTGAAGCGTCCGCAGTGCTGTTTGCAGGGGCAGCCCCTCCGGCCAGCTCTTGAAGGGGAAACTGGGAACCCCTTTTACTAGGGAAGGCGGGCTCCCATGGCGAGGCGAGGGCCAGGAACCCTGGTGCCTCCCTGAACTGGCAGGTGAAATGCCATTCAGTGTCCCAGCCCCCCGGGCAGCGGGGAATTTACAGGTTCCGTGTGAGCTGGGTGGGACACAGGGCTGCCGTCCAGCCTCCCATGGAACCCAGTGCCCAGTTCCTGCCTTTCCTGGCCCAGTGTCGGGGCTGCTGGTTGGCAGGGGACTTTCTTGGGCTCACACAGTAGAGCCTCCCTGGTCTGCCTTCGGGTGGGCAGCTCTGAGCGCTGCATTTTCTACTTCTCTGAGCAAAAGGCGTCTTTGGGGCTGGCCTCATCCTCTGCATTGCCTTCCTGTGGCCAGTCACAAATGACCACACGCCGGGCGTCTAGCAACAGCAGAGTCATTCTCATGGTCCTGGAGGCCAGAAGCCCCAAATCAGTGTGTCGGCTGGACCGTGCTTCCTGCAGAGGCTTGTGGGGGTGGGGGAGGGGCCCTCTTCTAGCTCCTGGGGGACTCCAGGCTGCTGGCCACGTCACCCCAATCCTGGCCTCTCCTCCTCTGCAGGGTTGAGACTCTCCTATAAGGACCCTGGGACGGCATTTGTAGGCCACCTGAGTCACCGCAGAGTCTAACTCCTGCAGCACCTTCCCCGTTGAAGGTCGCATTCTGGTTCCAGTTTGAGACTTGAGGTCCCGGGGGCACACACACCTACTGCGCCCTGCCATCTGCCCCGCAGCTCCGTCGGGGGCTGGGGCGCAGCTCAGAGTCCCCAGCGTCTGCGACAGTCAGTGGTGAAGTGGACGGGTTGTGTTCCGGAAGGATCAGGGACCCTGCAGGTTGGCTGTGCACTCCAGATGTGGGTCCTCCGGTGTCATCATGGCGGTTTCTGCTGGGAATGTCCGATACCGATCAGAAACATCAACCGGGAACTGGGTGGTGTTACTGGCGGAGCCGGCACTCCTGATGGGCAGTCACAGATTCTGTGTGAATGTGGTGCCGCTGGTCAGACGAGGACAAAAGCGCCCAGATCCGGTCTCCAGGTTTTGACTTTTTTGATGTGTTTGTTCCTTGAGCTGCGTGCCCCACACTAGCTCTCCTCTTCCTTCCAGCTCTGAATACAGATGTATTTCTGCTTCTGAAGATGGTTTCCAGCTGACATTGCTTCCAGGGGATTCAGGTCCTCTGGGAGGTTGTAATTATTTTGTTCCAGAAGGAAACGCAAGCCTGTAATTCCGAGCCTGCTGCGGGGGCTCAGGCCCTGTCCCACCTGCAGCTCCTGACACCGTCCTGCCGCCTCCTCCAGCCTCATGGAGGTCTGGGCGGCCGGTGGGTGCGGCGGGGGCCCCAGGAGCAGGGGCAGGGGCACAGCAATGCCCAGGTAGTCTCCGGGGTGTTTGCAGTTGCTCTTCCGGGACCAGGTCCCTGGGGGAGGGGCTTTGGTCTGTCCTTGCCCACCTGGGCCTTCCTGCTGCCTTCCTGCTGCTCAGGTGCCTTGACCTCACAGAAGAGCGCTTTGCGGGGATCTTCACTGATTCCTGGTCTCCACTTCCTGCTTCAAGTTCTCATCGCTGGCCCAGCTGATGGCTGCACCCCCGACGGGGTCAGAGGTCCAAGGGCACTTGAGGGGTCAGCGGTCCTGTGCTGCACCTTCGTGTTCGGTCAGGGCCCTTCCACGGGGCAGCAGCACTCTGCCTGGGACCCATCTTCCTTGGCGTTGCCTGCCTCGGCCATGCTTAGCCGTGCTGCGGGGCACTGGTCACCCGTAAGTTCAGATACAGCCTTGCAGAAAGGCAGGGCGGGTCCGAGTCGGTTCCCGCCCGCCTTCCAGGGTGACCAGTGAACTCTGGCCTGAGCCTGTGCTCATTTCAGTCCATGTGGTGCCACCCTCCGCAGGGCGGAGACAGTGGCTGTGCCTTCTATGTCCCAGGGTTGTGTTTGGGGGCCTTCGGCGGCTCCCTGGGGGCTCTGCACACTCCCCTGCCTGAGGACAGTGGAGCTGGGAGCCAGGCCCAGCACCTTGCTTTGGTGGTTCTCACTTTGGACCATGGCTACTCATTTCTTTGCTCAGAAACCTCACTGATGGCACCATTTTCAGAAACGCTGTGGTTTGGGAAAACAGGCCTTGTTCGGGTTTTAAGCATTGAGAGAAGCAAGCCAGTCACCATCCTAGGACCCTGGGCACTGGCCGGCCTTGTCCTCCTTCCCACCCAATGTCCATGCAGCACAGCCTCCTTGTGGGGGCAGGGGAGCCCCTCCTGTCACCCCCATCTTCTCAATCAGCCCCAGCTAGAGACTTGGGGGAGGGGAGCACAGCCTCAGCCAGCCTCACTGCGGGCTCCTTGGTGGTGTTCTCGGCCCATGGGGGCACTCCTGGAGGGGGCGCTACTCCTGTGAGGTCGGCTGGGGCAGCAGGGACAGAGGGGGAGAAGGGGCTGTCAGCACTGCATGCGGGCGGGGCGGCCTGGCGGGGCCTTGGGCCCTGGGCATGGGAGGCAGGGCCCGGCTGGGAGACACTGGGGAGGTCTGTCC